TCATTTACAGCTAATTTTATTTGCTTCTTTTCTTTTGAGGTGATTTTTAATATGATGTTTTGCAGTATTTTGGCAACTTTTATAATTCTAGATTGTCTAAATTTTTTCAGATTGATTTTTCTCTTGAAAAAAAAATGTCATTTTTCTTTTTTTTATTTTAAAGGTGTTGGTTAATTAAATCTTTTTTAGATAGCTAATGCATGTTGATTGTTTTTTTTTATTATTATTATTTTTTTTTTTTTTTATAACATATAAACAGAAATATTCCAGCGTATTGAAAATCAGCAGTAGTATACAAACATGTAAAATATACATCTGTTTGAGCAATGAAGAAAATATTTCTTTATCTAAATTCTTGCATTTTGTGTCCTACTAATAATTGGTGCAAACTGCTTTCCACACTTGTTCAACATAGCAATCTCTGTCTAGTGACTGTAGAATGAGCTGGTAGACATCATGTATCATTATATCTTTTTCATGACTTAGTAATACAGCTGCCAAACTGATGCGAGGTATATGTCTACATGTAGAATATATAAATAGATATAGAATAACTTTATATGGAAGGAAATCGAACTTACACCTTTAATTCAGTACCTAATTTAAAAAATCACATAGGCGTTTAATAAAATATCTAATATCTAATAAAAGATTATAAACTGAATAGTTATGCGAATGATCAATTTTACCAAAAGAGAGAATATTAATTTTTTTATAGTTTTTTTTTTTAATTTTTAACTATACAAAAACAAAAAAATATGTGTATTTAGTATTAAAATTAAATTTTCTGGAAGATAGTCATAAAATTATTTTGGTTTCTGAGTTGATATGATGAAAAATAAATTAAAAAAAGGGCAAATATTTAAGACTCTTTTAAACTTTTATAAAAACTTGATTTTTCTTAAGTTAGACTTAAATATTATTTTGACATATTTATAGGGGAGATTATTTTCTTTATAGAGGAGATTTTTCTATTATAAAGAGGAGATAATTCTATTTTATAGAGGAGATATTCTCATTTTAAAGGAGATTTTTCTATTTTATAGAGAAGATAATTCTCTTTATAGAGGAGATTTTTTTTATTCTATAGAGAAGATGATTTTCTTTCAACTAATTTGATACATTCTTTAATTTCTAACAATTTTATTTAAATTTTTCAATCAAATTTTACTCTATATAAAAAGATATGTTCTGTTATGACCATTATGCATGACTAATCATTTTTATATTAAATAGCAGAAGTTTTTTGTAAGCATTATTTAAATTTGTAAGCATTATTTAAATCATTTTAATGTTTAGTATTGATAATTTTGAGGATGATTGCAAAAGCATTTTTGTATCATCGACTAATAGTTTGGTAAAAATTTTCTAGGAGGGTCATTGATCTATAAAACAAATTAAAGTAATGCAATTACAAAAACTTGCTGTGCACCACTGAAAAGTCTTGCGGTACATCAATAAAATGTCTTGCGGTACACCACTGAAGGTCCTGTGGTACATCACTGAAAGTCCTAACCCAGTCAGAAATGATTTTGCTTTGAACAACACTTTGACTTCTTCTTTCCAGGAAAGCTTTGTTCCATTTAATATTTTAATATTTAGTATCAGACCATCAAAACTGTATGTTTTCAGTTTTGCTAATAGTCTTTTGTGTGGAGCAGTGTCAAAAGCTTTAACAATGTAACATCAACCAAAATAACATCATCTTGATGAAATTTAGTCAAGGGTTTTCTAACAGATTAGTGGTACATGATTTATTTCTAATGAATCTGTTATTTTTATATAGGGAATAGTTCCTCCATTTTAGCTCTAATTTTTTTTTTAATTTTAATTCACCTTTCCAAGACCCTCATAGCCAGTCAGTGGCACTGTTGGCCTCCCCAATGTACAGGCTACGTTTTTAGTTGTGTTACAATTAGTAGTACAGTCAAGTTAGTTGTACAGCCAAGGAGGCTATGTTTAGTGGTTAGTAGAACAGTAAAGGAGGCAACGTTTTTAGTTGTGGTTACAATTAAAACACGAACCTTGACAAACAAGGCCACTGTGCAGAGAAACAAGTTAAGTGTAGTACTACCAGGGACATGGTGGGGATCAAGCTCGGAACTTCTCACTTATGAAGCGAGCGCTCTACCACTAAACCACTAATGCATTGCATTAGTGGTTTAGTGGTTGACATAATTGCATATTTTCCATAATTTTACTAAGTCATATGGTTTGTAGATACAACTAAGTACTTGTCGTTTTCGAAATAAACTGTAGATTTGTTCAATTTTGATTTGTTTCCCAGATGATATAATAACAGTTTTAAATTGTTTTCATCAAAAATTATATTTGGTTACATTACAATTTAATTAATATTAAAATGTTACTACAGTTACATAGGAAAGAATATATAATTACAGGCTTATAAAAACATAAATTTAAAGAGGTTAATATATATTAAGTATATAAAGGGTTGAAAAAGAAATATGTATGTATGTATATATATATATATATATATATATATATATATATATATATATATATATATATATATATATATATATATATATATATATATATATATATATATATATAATATATATATATATATATATATATATATATATATATATATATATATATATATATATATATATATATATTCTTCTGATATTATTATTTTGTATTTAGAAGGTGCTATGTCAAGAATGGAGAATGAGTTAGCACTTATAGAATTTTTATATTAAAGAGGTGATGTGGGGTTTGTTAGTATGTGAGGTTTTATCAGAATTGAGATATTCAAAAATCCTTATTGTATAGTGTCTGGTGACTTCATCAATATACCCAGCCTAGTTTATATATACCATAGTCTGGTAATATACCTGTCACATACAAAATGGAATGTTTTATATTAATATTGACATATATTGTATATTATAAATTGGCGTATATTGCATATTGTACCATAGTCTGGTGGTTTCACCAACCTTTGACATAAAAAAATATACAATTAAAAATTTCAGAATATTAGGTGAGGGGTCTTTCAATGAGAAAATTCTGTAAGGTGTCATGACTAATTTGACTGTTTTTTGTAAAATATTGGATTTAACTGATGTTGATAACTATTTGAGGTTTTTCCAATATAGTAGTGAATCTTGAGAGGTTTATATATATATATATATATATATATATATATATATATATATATATATATATATATATATATATATATATATATATATATATATATATATATATATATATATATATATATATATATATATATATAGTCTTTAAAAGTCATATTCTTGTTATATGATATGTTTATATTTATATGTTTATAATTTGACTGCACTCTTTACTTTCTCCTTATTTTATTTTATTTTTTCTAATCATCTAGGAAATTTTATTTAAGTGAATTGATTATACTTATTAATAAAGAAGAAAATATATAGTTCTTTGATAGTTTATAAACCTATTTTTTTATTAAATATATATTTATATAAATATAAAGTAATATATTAATTTATAATAATTTTTTTATTTATATTTAAAAATTATTGAAAAAACTAAGGTTCTCTTTTTAATATAATCATTTTCTCCGTAATTCTCCTTATTTTTTCTTTCAAAAAAGTGTCTTTCGCGACCAAATCTCTTTATATATTAGGAAATTATATCCTTAAATCTCCTTAAAATCCTTACTTTTAGCCTCAGTTATAATAGTGGGAACCCTGTATTAAAGACACGATATTTCGCTTACCCGTTGTGGTCAACGTTATCAGGTAATGAAAAAACGTTACAAAATAACATAAAACAAATCGTTAAAAAAAAAAGGACATTAAAAAGCGTAAAATATAAAACCAATCAAAAACTATAAATTTTGTTTTAATATTATCTCCGTTATCTCGATTTTTCTTATACTTGTTTTCTGGAATGGCTGCCACGGTCTAAGGTTTCAGCCAATCAAACTCGGCATGTTCTAGAATGTTCCGTGGCTCCTTAACCTGAGCAGGCTCTTTGGTGTTCTACCTTTCTTGAAATGATTTTATTTTTGGTCTCACTAATATATATTTTTCCGCATGAGCATTTAAGTTGGTAAACTCCCGATTTGAGTACGGAAGTAGTTTTGTTTTGTTGTTGCATAATATGTTATTTAAATTGAGAACTGAAATAAATATAACTCTGATGTTTTGTTTTCTAAATTCTCTTCGGATTTTTAATAATAGGTATCCAAGGTAGTTTAACAAACTGTTTATTTAATTGTTTAGATGTAGTATTTTTTGAAATTCGGTCTAAATAGTTTTTGGTTATTTTAATAAGATTACTTTGGTTATAGCCGTTTTCGAAAAATGTATTTATGAGGAAATCAATTTCTTGTGAGAGATATTTTTGAGAGCAGATTTGTTTTGCTCTACATAAAAATCCTTTAAAGACATCAGTGGTTTGACCAAAGCACGTTTGTGCTTGGGTTGATGTTGGAGTTTGGTTTTATTTGAACAGTTGTTATTGGATTCGTATGGTGTACTTGAAAGTCAAAAAATCCATTTATTGTATTTGTAATACAAATATCTAAAAAATTAAGTTGTTTTCTTTAAGTTCAACAGTATATTTTATGGAGGGGTTTTGCTCATTTAAAGTTTTAAAAAACAAATCTTGCTTTTCTTTCGAATCGAAGCGAGCATGGCCATCATCCACATATCTTTTGTAAGTTATTGGTTGGAATGAATTATCAAAGGCTATATTAAGGGCTCTTTTTTCTATACTTTACAAAAATGCCTCAGCTTTGACTACCATCAACGATAAACCAATTAGACCTGAATTAGGTAAAGTTCGGATTTTATCTACGTTTAAAAAATAGCATTTGCTTAATAAAAGTATCGTTAATACATTGTTATATTAAAATATATTTAAAAATAGTTATACGCTGCGTTTTTTTATTGAAATCAACTTATATATATATAAATCTGGGTGTGAGTATGTATGTATGTATGTATAAAATTTTTTACATTCTTTTCTAGTTTCATAAATAATGGAATACAGTACAGCAAAGCTTGTTCAAAAGATTGGCGAAGAAGAGATTAATGAGGGAGATTTTCTACTTTCACAATGTCAGCATTTAATTGCTGATGACGACACAATATATGTCTCAACAGTGATTAACCGAAATATACGGGCTATTGATGCCAAGAGTGGTCAATTCAAACGTGATATAGGAGAAATTGGATTTTCTGATGAAAGTATTAACATGGCTGCAGGAATGGCATTTTTTGGTGATAATTTGATTATGGTTGCGGATCTTAATGGAAATAAAGTTCAGTATCATAATAAAATTACTGGGGACTATGTGAAAAAGTTTGATGCTGATTTTTATTTTCCAGCATGTGTTTCTGTTTCTAAAAGCAATAATGTATACATTGGTGAAGTAGGAGATGAGAATAAAAAAATTCGCTGTTTTAATACAGAATTGGTTGAAGTCTGTTCAGCTGCAGTAGCAGGTGATAGATCTCTTACTGGAATTAATTACCTTGTCCACGACAATGTTAATAATAGAGTTATTGCATCTGATTCAGATGATGGCTTTGTTCACGTTTTTTCTTCTAATCTGGAACACATATTTAGTATTAGTGAAGATGACAGTGATTCCGGACAGTTGAATAATCCAAGCGGTGTTGCGGTGGATAAGGATGGCAATATTTTAATTTGTGATTTGGGTAATAATGCAGTTAAAGTATTTGATAAGAATGGTAAATTTTTGTCCGAACTTGGTGGAAGCAGTTTTTTAAATCCCTATGATGTGTTTTTTAGTGTTAATGGTAGTGTGCTTGTTTTAGATGGAGATGGTATTAGTGGTTGGAGTAGAATCCAAGTTTTTAAAGTATAAACTCTAGTTTTTATTTGCTTTGTTTACACGCAAGTCCGCATGTCATACTTAAAATAACACTATACTCAAACTTTTGTTAGTTGTTAAAACAAGTGTTAGTCTATACAAAAAAAAATTAGAAATCAGCATTTGATACAAATCCAGCGATTTACAGTTTAAACATATATGATATGCAATTGTGTTTTTTTTTTTAACTTTTTGTGAAAATACCTCCTTTTCAAAAATTTGAAACTAAACTTCTTATTTTTTTGATGATTTCCTTTAAATAAAGTAATATTTATGTTTTTGTTGTTGTTTTTTTGAAAAAAATGTTAAAAATTTATTTGAATTTAATTTTTTTCCACTTCCTTTTTTTTATTCATATTTATATTAATAAGTTATTAATTGTATTATAACCCGAGGTGGCGTCCACTGTAGTAAACTGTCAGATACAGAAAGAGGGTAACAGTGTTACTCTCTTTATTAGATTTGTTAAGTAAAGTACAATTTTTTTCTAATTTTTAACAATTCATTGAGAAATCTTTTTTTAAACTTTAAAAAAAAATTTAAAGGATAAAAATAAAGTAATAAAGCTCGAAGAAGACGCACTAAATTTTAGTTTTTAGTAAATAAATTTATGTAGGATTTAAATTGGATTTAAAATTTTAAAAGTGAAATGTTGGCTACATAAACATGGTGCTTCAAATTAAATTCATTCCAATACCTCCCAAAAAAAATATGTTTAAAACCATTATGCTTCAATTTGAAAAAAAACAAATGAACTAAAAATGAACTTTTCTTTAGTCGGGTTATTTTAACTGGCTGGATTCTAAGAGTAAGCAAATAGTTAAGCTTTTTAAAAGGTTGGTTCTTATAAACATTGTGCATAGCTTTATATATACAATATTGATATTCGTTTGTCGAGTTGTCTAACAATTTGTGCTTAACGGGCTGTAAAAAATTTTTAATATTGCAATCTGTTTTTTCATAACTCTGCTTTTTATATCCGTTGTGATCGTTTATTGGAAGTTTTTTCCTGCCACAGTCATTTTATAAAAATCGTGTAATAAATAGTTTTACTTTGTTGTTCATAAAATTTTTTTCTTTGTACGTCTCTTGGCAAACAGGTTGGTTGTATATGGTGATTATAAAAGTGACATCGATAAGAATAACAATAAAACCTTATTCAAATGTAGTTTTCTTTTCGCAGTGCTCAAAGAAAATCTCGTCGTTTTGCAGCATCTTAATAACGAAATATCAATGTTTGCTTTGAATGATTTTTCATTTACTAATTTTTAGCCAGTTCAAATACTTAACTAAGCTGGAAATTCCCGTTTTTCTAAAAACGATTTGGCAATATTTGCTGAAGTCTTGCGTCGAGTAGATTAATGTGGCGTCAGTGCAATTTCTATGTGAAATTCTTTTTAAGAAAGGAATTAAAGCGTGTACACGAAATAAATGTGAAAGAACAAGTGCAACATTTTTTTCATTGGCTGTAATAATATATTTAAATTTTATTTTGTTTGCAATATGTTGTTGTTTCAAAAAAAATATATATATTTTTCCCATTAAACTTAAATAAGTTTTAGAAATGACAAAAGAAGACATTAGAGAAAAAATTATGCACAAATATTTAGAAAATATGAATATAAGCTACAATTCAATAGAAAAAAAATTGAAAGTACATCCCTACACCATTAGTTGTTTTATTCAACGTTTTTCCCAAACAAAGCTGATCAAACGCAAATTTGGTGGTGGAAGAAAGAAAGGTTTTCAAGATATAAAACTGGTTAGATAACTTGTTAACAGTTTTAAAATTAACCCACGCCTCTCATTTAGGGAACACGCGAAAAGATGCAAATTTTCTCATAGTTTTGTTGCAAAAGTTTGAAATAAACATGGTCAACATTTTTTCAAATCACAAAAAGTACTCAATCATTCTTAAACTCACATGATACTAGACATGTGTTCTGACCTTATTTAGCTTAAAGTCGTTATAGTAAATTGGTGATGAAATGTTGTAAACAAAATGATGTAAAAGTTGTTCTTAAAACAGCAAGTTCTCCAAACTGGTTAAAAATGAAAGTTATTGAAAAGTCCTGGGCAATTATTGAAAAAAAAATCAAAAAAACTATTTAGAAACGCCTAAAATTTGAAAATTTCATTTAAAAGATTTGAAAATCTCATTGTATAGCATCAAATAGTTTTGATTGTCACTCTGTGCGGAAGCTTATGGGTACCACTAAAGCAAAAGTTGGAAATTAAAAGTCTACAGAAACAAATATTTTTTTGGAAATATTTTACCTTCTTATATTAATGTTTTAAAATAGTTACTTAGTTCTAGATAAAAACTAATAAGTACCTTTTTTTAGAAGTTTTTCTACTTTCACATTTATTTCGTATACACGCTTTAAAAAAAAAAGAATTTTCTTATCAGAGATTTTAATATGAACTGTTTTCCCTATATCAACGACTTCAAAATTAAGAACTTTTATGACTCTAATTTCTGAAACAGGAGCTGTACCCTTTATAATCCCCTACTAGAGTTACAGTAAAATCAGCGACTCTACTAGATAACATCATCACAACAGATATCTTTAACAAAGATATTCAAAAAGGAGTTCTAAAAACAAATATATCTAACCATTTTCCAATTTTTTTAGCTATTCGATCAAGCTCTAAAATAAAAATTTAGCACAAAAAAAAAATTAAAAAACGTGAATTTGACCACGCTAGTTAGAAGAGTTAAAAGAACAATTGTTGTTATGGGATTGGAAGCAAATAGAATTTAGCAGCAATGCAAACATTATTTACGAAATTTTTTTAAAAACATTTTATTACATTTATGATGCTAACTTTTTATTTTGTGAAAAGACTTTAGACCCAAAAAATATAAATTCACGTTAAATAACCAAAGGTTTTAAAAAATCATACAAAGTAAAACAAAAACTATACATTAAATATTTAAAAACAAAATCAACCGCTAGTGAAAAAACGTACAAAGACTACAAATACTTTTTTGGAAAAGTTCGAAAAAAGTTAAAAAAAATTACTACTCAAAACTTCTTGATAAAGCTAAAAATAACTCCCTACACACTTGGGAAATAATAAAAGAAATTGTTGAAAAAAAAATCATGCTTAAACTCCTTATCTCAGATGATTTAAGTTGATAACAAAAGCATTTATAAGCCTAGTATCTAGCTCAAGGATTTGATAAATTCTTTATTAAAGTTGGTTTGAAACTTGCTAAAAATATTCCTAACACCCAAGCCTTATTTAATAATTTCTTAGTACCTACGGATAATTGCATTTATTCTAATGAGTTATTTTCAGATTTATCCTTTGAAGAGTTTGAAAACAAAGCAGTAGGAGCTGATGAAATTAATGGAAACATAATTACAGATTGTTATGAACAGTTAAAAGTTGTTCTATTTAAAGTTTTTTAAGCATCTATTGATCAAGGATTTTTGCTGATCAATTAAAAATTGCCAAAATTATTCCTATTTTTTAAGAAAGTGATAGAACTAATATTTGTAATTACCGCTCTATCCCCGTCCTTTCTACCTTCTCAAAAATTTTTGCAAAAATTATGTACAATATAATGTTCAATTATTTCAATAACAATAATCTATTATCCAAAAATCAATTCGGTTTAAAAAAAAATAACTCAACTGAACATGCAACAATTCAGTTAGTACGCAAAATCTCCAATTCTTTTGAAAATTCTCGTTTTACATTGGGCATTTTGATTGATCTATCTAAACCGTTTGATACTGTAGATCACGATATTTGTGTTTTTTTTTTGACGAGAAAATCACATAGAAGCAAAATATTAATTATATTTGCGCTAAAGTGACTAAAACTATTGGAATCTTATACAAAGCCAGAATATATCTAAGTAAAAAAAGTTTAACACAACTTTATTACTCATTTGTTCATAGTTATTTAAATTATGTAATTATTGCCTGGGGTAGTACATCTTTACACACTAAAAAAAAAATGTAGAAATTTCTACCTTAAGGTAGGATATGTGATATACCTTTAGTAAGGTCCCTTTTAAGGTAGAAAGTTGAACCTGTCATTTCAAAAAGGACACAAGCCCAAAACTTTTAACAGTTTGTTTATAAATTTAAATCAAAAATCTCTGCATGATTTATATTTTTTTTATAAAAAATAAAAGTTACATAAGTTATATACATTCTTTATTTATCTACTTCTATGTTTAGTTTCTTTACCAGCGTAGACATTATTTTAATAAAAATCATGTTTTTGTTGATTTTGAAAAGTTTTAATAAATGACAGGAAAATATAATCAATTATATTTTCGAAATCACAGGTTAAATTATATTAAAAACAATGATTTTCATACAATTTTCTACCTTAAAATTATAATTTTCTACCTTAAAAGATAAAAAATTACTCCCAACCAAGGGTATATCACATATCCTACCTGAAGTAGAAATTTCTACCTTTTTTTTTTGTGTGTACCACCGTCAGAAACTATACGTTTAATCAATTTCGCTGATCGATTCGCCGTTTAATCAATTTCGCTGATCACATATTAAAATATTTTTTATGGAAACGAGAATACTCAATGTATACGAATTAAATGTATTTAATGTTTTATGTTTCATTTATATGTGGAATATGCCCTTTAGTTTTTAAAAATTTATTTTCTTTGAAACCCATAAACAAATATGTCTTAAGAAATAATAATTTTGTAAATGAACCGCTTTGTAAAACAAGTTTTAATCAATTTTGTATATTATGTCATGCACCACATCTCTGGAATGGGATTGTTTTACCAAATTTTGATTTGTCGATTACTTTTCCAGTCTTCAAAAATAAATTAAAAAATTTCATTATCTCAATTGAAAATATTTTTAATAACGTAGCTATTACAATATACAATGAAATTTTATGATACAATGTGTATATTTATACTATGTTTCTTTTTTTCTTTCTTGTATTGTAATACGCATTGTAAGATTCTGGCGATAAGGTCATTAGATCTTTATCAAATACCTTTGTTTGTATTTTAATTTTATATACACATATTTTTTTAGACTAAATCTAGACTTTGAATTTATAAGTCTACGGATTTTACATGTTGTAGAGGATTTTATTATATAATGTATTTTCTCGTTTGTTTTTTTTCACTTTGCTGGCATTCAGTAACCATTTCATACACAGAGTACAGAAACATATAGCTTTATAATTTCGATGGAAATCGCCCTGACAAAATAACTTGTCTTCAAATTCATTTTCTTGCTAAATTTTTTAATTTAGTTTTTTGCTGATATAG